AACTCGATCTTGCCTCTTGGAACTTTTTAACTTGTTGAGGCTGGGGGGCTCCCCCCCCCAGCCCCCCTCTCTTGGAGACAGAAGTGATCTGCCTGCGGAAAACTCGGATTTTTCGCCTTTTTTTTATGTTTTTTCGGCTAAAAAAACTGAACCAGTTGAGCTAGGATGGTGAAATTTCGCGTGTGCCGAGCCAAGAACATACCTAATAACCCTGCAAAACCTCAGCCAAATCGGCCGAGCCGTTCAGGAGGAGTAGTGTACACACACACAGACAGACAGACAGACAAAACTTTTCAACCGCGCTGGAGTAACAGGCTTCGCTATCGCTCAGCCAACAAGTAAGTCGTTGTGAAATTATCCTTTAGTTCCAGTACGAGTTTGGTTTAACTAGCTATTCGTTCCGCACCAAATCTTGTCGCTAAAAAAATTAGCGATAAATGCGTCGCTAAGTTACGCCCAAAATTTTTTTCAGTGTAGTGGGGGGTTCCATTAACAGAAAAGGGTGGAAAATTGGTTGTTAACCAATTTTCCAGCCTTTTCTCTCAATTCGATCCCGGTTTCCCGCTAAACAAAGCGTCCTAGCGTTTTTTGACCCAAAAATCCCCCCCCCCCCCAAAAAAAAAGGAAAAGTAGCGATATACATCGGCAACTTTGGCCCGTCCCGTTCATCGGGGAATGTGCGAATTTCGCCTTTGTTTAACCCTGACGGGGTTTAAACCTGAGTCTGGGGTCGAAAAAAATGTTATTTTCGTCATCAGCGCCCTCAAAAACATCAGAAACAATGCAAAAATTTGGATAGAAAGAATTTTCAAACTATACCCCACTGGGTTTTGAACCCGGGTCCAAACCTCTCCGATTCGCTTGAAACTGGCACCTTTGGTTTTGTTTCGTCGCCCCGATTCCAAAAATACCCCTAGATCCCCTCCTAGCTGTATCCGTTGCCGAAATTCTCTTCGACCCCATGTAGACCATGATGCACCTGCAGCAGCGCCCCCGGGGCTCGGATCGGATTTGCTGCCACCGGGCGGTTCTTAGGATCACCCAAGGAGGCTGCATACCAATTTGGTGAAGATCGGACCACGGGATGTCCTCGGGCGGACGGACGCACGCACAGCAGGGGTCATACTATTGCCCGTCCCTCCGTCATTTTTTTACAAAAAGGAAACGGGACGGGCCAAAACTCTTAAGGGCCCCCAAAAAATCGAAGTAGGGGTCTATACATTCTGCCTTAATGCGGGTAAAAATTAGGGTACGGGCCCCGACATTCACACTGCTAATTCAAGTTGGAGACAGCTTTACACTATTTTACGTGAACTCCAATGTGTGTGACATTTAAAAGCGAGCCACGTTTTTCCCACGCTGACAAGTGAGACTCGGTCTGTCCCACATTTTAAAGTAAAGACACAAACCTGTAATATTACAACAGAATCACCTACAGTAATGCTGTTAAAAAACAAAAGTATTGTTTTTTGTCTGAACGTGGAACCCATCCAGAAACAACACTTTTGTTTTATAACAACTTCTTTTGCTAGTAACAATAATGTAATCGTGATCTCAAATAGAGGGGGACACACCATCTTACTAAATTTCTGCATACACCACACGCAATAGTGACAGTGATAGACATAGCATGCGCTTCTTTGTTGTTGTGGCAAATGCCTCTGTCTCTCTTTCGCGTCACTTCCCGATGCCATCGATGTTAGTGGACGTATGAGTGGCAGCTGGGGTTAATGCCATCCGCTTTGGGAGGTTGCTCATTGTTATCATCCAGCTGTCCATTTGGATAGCACAGCTGTCTGCGCACGGTTCTGTCCTGGTACGTCTAATGTGCCTTTCGCATCATTTCTCTGGTAATTTATTCCACGCAATAATAATTTCGGTAGAAAATTTTGACAGATTGTCTACCAATCAAGTCCATGCGTAAGGCATTGTATTTATTTATCGGATATAATGATGTTTACCCGTGTTTCACCCAGATTCATGTATGTACAATTAGATAACCGTAAGAGTTGCCCGAACTTGCATTCCGGACTTGCCAGAAGGAGCTGGTATCCTCTGCAGAGAGTCACGTGGCACGGATTCCCCAGCCGCCGGGCAGCGTCGTACTGTACAAACTCAAGTGTGTACATAGTACACTCCACCTGGAGTATACATGCATGTACACCAACCTGGAGTGTACATAGCATGTACACTTCACCCTGGAGTGTACTTGGCATGTACACTCCAGGTTGGCGTGTACTTGCCAAGGACATGCCAGGTGGCTCATACCTGCAGCAGGGAGCCGGCAACAGTGGACCTGAAGTTACACGCCAACCTGGAGTGGACATGCCCAGTACACTCCAGGTTGAAGTGTACATGCTAAGTACACTCCAGGTCGAAGTGTACATGCATGTACACTCCAGGTGGAGTGTACTATGTACACACTTGAGTTTGTAGAGTATTCCCAACTGCTCCACAGTAAGGCTCTACTACACTGGTAAAACTAAAGCGTAACTCTATGCTTGAGTCAAGCATAAAGTTACGCTTGAAGACGTTACGCTTGAAATGAAGCATAGGCTAGAAATTCCCCCATGCATTTAGATAGGGGAAATCTTGGCGGATGAGCTTGTTACGCTTGATTTCAAGCGTAAACTGACTACGCTTGAAAACAGTGGGTAATACTACGCTTTAGTTTTACCAGTGTAGGAGAATTTGTTGTCAACAAATACAACACGAAATTCCTATAACTTTAAAATGAGGACAAATTGATAACGAATTTATGACAATTCCCGCCATTTTCATCAAAGGTCCTTTACTTAGTGCGCATGGGCGTGACAAAGGATTGTCTCACGCACAATTTAGCGTGGGCCAAATGGGTGAGAAACGGTTTGGCCCACCTTTGCCTGCCCATGGTTCCCTGAGGGTTTGAGAAAAACTGTATCTCACACCAAGGGGTAAGGCACACGTGGTTCACACTCGTAAGCGTGAGACGTATTGGTTCTCGCTAAATGGTGCGAGACTGTCGTCTCACACTTGGATTTGAAGTGCATTTTCGGGAGGGCCCTCCAATCCTCACGTAAGCCCTCGTTAGAAACGAACACTCTGCGAAACACGGTCTCCGGCAATATTCCCTGACCTTCCAAACGTACCCCCGGGATTTTTAAATTTATTTTAACAGACTCTCACTCCTAGCCTCGGTTTTGTCCTTCCTGACTTCTTTTCAACTTCTGGTCTAGCTCTTCTCATAAGTACTCTACGAGTCGGGTCTGAAAATTCAGGGCATTTTCAAACACCGTGCCGATGGATTCGATTCGAAGTTGATGGCTCTGGTTCCAGGGCAGCGATGTCGCAGAGACGAGTCCGTGATGGCTGCAAGAGCATCGTCCTGGGTGTGTTTCTCTTATTTGTTTTCGGACCGCACATCGCCAACGGCAAAGCGGGAAAGGCAATTAACTCATATGCGGTAAGAAGAAACGCGTTTAGTTAAAGCGCAGACACAATGTTGGATTTACAAAAACAGCAACGACCGGCCGAAATTCGGCGTTGAGGGACTCGTGTGTCATGTGCTTGTCACTAGGAGCCCCACTCTCTACAACTTTGCTTTCGTAACTCTATAATTTCGATTCGACTTTTCAGGGAAAGTACATTGTCTACGCAGACACGTTCTACATGTGTGATAGTGAAAGTTTATGGGACTGGAACTTTAGGGTCAGCCACTGGAATCCTGCCAAGCCGAATGAACTACAACGTTTAACTGGCTGGTTTAATGCCACAGTGCACAGCTTGACGGACGCAAGTTGGGTGAGTGCCATTTGACAACGGGCTTGCTGCAATTTGGTCCGAAGTTGGGAGCAAACATTAACTCAGTTATGCAGGACTCCTAACCTTTACACTAAAAACCTAACTGTCTACTTAGGACACTCTTACAAATGCATGCTTGGCAAGTACACACTTACAAACGCATGCATGGCGCCGTATAACTCCATGCCTAGCATAGGCGTTTGTGAAAGTGTACTTGCGCAGCATGCATTTGTAAGTGTGTACTTGCCATAATGCATTTGTGTGTGCTTAGTGGACAGTTAGTTTGTAGTGTGCATGCATGAATCCAAGGAGGGGGGGGGGCTTTTGCCCCCCGCATGGCACCTAGATCCTACCTAAAATGCAGGCTAAGTCATGCTTCGCCCCTGTAAAGGAGGCAAAAGGGTAAGAAACCCCCTCCCCTTTCACTCCACGAAAAATGTCCTGTCAACGCCGTTAATTTATTACCAATGTATGCTGTTACGCAATTCACGGCGTTTGCTGTGAACTAGTTCACGGCGTTCATTGTGATCTCGGTTTCAGTGTTCACTGTGATCTGGCCACAGTAAACGCCGTGAATTGGAGCCTGATTTGCAGTACTTTCTTGCTCAGCGGCGTCAAACTCACAGTGTTTACTGTAGACCAGATCACAGTGAACACCGTGAACAAGATCACACACTCTCAGAGCCATACTGACATTTTTGTCTGTACTTTTATTTAAAAATTATTTCTATGTAATTTATGAATAATTTTTTAGGTATCTCACTGATAAAAATCTATGTGTAACGTATTGACATTTTGCATGTTAGCCTTACTAACAAATCTGTCACTAGTTATTTACAAGAAGTATGGAGGCCTTCTGGGACTAATTTGTTAGTGCCTACTAAGAGATTTTGTCAATAGTAAGAAAGAAACGGAGTCAGTAGTAACTAACTAGGGGTACGCGCCGTTTAGTTTGGGCGCGTAGTAGGCGAGCGATGCGTCTGAACACATTCTTATAGGAGATGGCGAAGAATATGTGGAGAAAAAGGCCAATACAGTGTCTTCCGTCACGAAAAGGGCCCGGGAAATTTATGTCATTTTCGTGATTATCTTACTGAAAACTGCAGGAAACAATGGGAAACTCAACTTTGTAATTTTGGTCACAAAATTTGGGAAATTTTTGGAAAAGGAAAGGTCTGGGATGAAATTGGAAGTCATTTTCGTGATTAGCACACCAAAAACTGCAGGAAACTATGTAAAACTCGACTCAAAAATTTTGGTCCAAAATTGGTAAATATTTGGAAAAGAAAAGGTCTGAGATGAAATTTGAAGTCATTTTCGTGATCAGCCACCAAAAACTGCAGGAAACTATGTAAAACTCGACTCAAAATTTTGGTCCAAAATTGGTAAATATTTGGAAAAGTAAAGGTCTGAGATGAAATTGGAAGTCATTTTCGTGATCAGCACACCAAAAACTGCAGGAAACTATGTAAAACTCGACTAAAAAATTTTGGTCCAAAATTGGTAATATTTGGAAAAGAAAAGGTCTGAGATGAAATTGGAAGTCATTTTCGTGATCAGCACACCAAAAACTGCAGGAAACTATGTATAACTCGACTCAAAAATTTTGGTCCAAAATTTGGAAAATATTTGGAAAAGTAAAGGTCTGGATGAAATTGGAAGTCATTTTCGTGATCAGCACCCCCAAAACTGCAGGAAACTATGTAGAACTCGACTTAAAAATTTTTTTCAGAAATTGGAAAATTTTGGGAAAAGTAATGGTCTGGGATGAAATTGGAAGTTATTTTCGAAATTTTCTAAGTGTGTTTCCTGTTCATTGTGTCGTAACATGAACCCTAACACTGTTACTCAGTCGAGTAACATTCAACAGCCAGCATTGAATTACTTATACGATTCACAATGCTTCAATTACCATTCGATATCTCCTTGTTATTGAACTTATGAATACACAATGTTATAAGTAATACCTAAAAAGCCTTTTATCTCCCTTTTATTTTAAACTAGTGGATGAAACTTCATTGATTTATCTCAATTCATTAAAAGAGAACATTTACAGGCGGGCTGATTGCAACTACTTTACGGAGAAGACCTTCTTCAGATCCAATAATCGTTCCATTAAATTTCAATGTCGAGCCCACTTTTTGCTAAACGCAAGTTAATCTTATTCATAATGATAGTCATGATGTGATATTTAATCTTTAAAACAGTATAGCATAAGTATTTACCTAACATTCTGAATAAATTAAAAAGAAGCCAACTCAAACCATGACTGACACAAATTACCAGTTGTCGCAGACAATGTATGATGAAGTTAAAAGAATCGTCTCATGAAATCAAAGACCAAGTCACTGAATCGTCTCATTGAATCAGATGTCAATGTCAAACCATGTATGCGCTACTCTCACTCACCATATAGTTATCTTTAAGGGTTTGTACTATAGTAAACTTACAGCATTGCAATGAAGCTTTCCCCAGAGTCAGTGCCAAGAGTCAGCAAAGACTATTTATTTTGGGAAATTAGTGTCTGGTTTGTACTTTTAGATTGCATTGATCTATTTTCTAACTGTTATTTAGCAAAGCAAACAACTAAAAAGTATAATGTCTGAGAATAAAACTGGAAATACACTCTCAAAACTTAAAAAACCAAAACATTCTTGCAATTATCAAACGATCAAACACACTCCACTGACTAAAACATTTCCCCTGTGGCGGGGGAGGGGAGGGGGCGGACGGACGAAACGCGTAATAATTGTCACTTTCATTTTCCGTATTTCACTGTGTTGACACTCCGGAGGGGTTTCAATCATTCTAGAATATCGAAAAACTAAGACCGAACTCACTTCTTCTAGAATATCGAAAAAATAAGACCGAACTCACTTCTAAGCCCTTTTCCTCTCTATTTTTTTTTATTTGCCAATGTTTTGCCAGTCCCGTATTTGAGAGCCGCGGCCGCAAGTATGAAAATTGCTATATATGCTGCCAACCTAACCACGCTAAGAACCAATTCAAAAAGATGTTTTTAATATTTCAAACGGTAGTAATCGTGAATATAAAAAAAACTCCCCCTGTGGGGCCTTTAGGGGATGTTCGGTGCAAAATTTGGTAACTATTAGTGTTGTAGTTGCTGAGAAACGTGAGCGTGTACGCTACAGACAGACAGACAGACGCACGACCAGTCACTTTTCGGAGCGCCCAAACACGGCAAGGGCTCGCTATCGCTCGCCAATAAATAAAGTCAAATACAAATAAAATTCTATGTACATGATCAAAATTGTCGCGACATTAAATATTTTTTTGGACTTGCAAAACTTGTCGCTGACTAAAAGGGTCCAACAAGCTATCCGTTCCAAAATAAATGTTGTCGCTGAAAAAAATTTGCATTAAAAATGTCGTTTTGTAAAGACAAAAATTTTGTCAGTGGTTATTCTGGTAAATTTTTATCAACAAATTTATCAACAATTTTATCAACAAATTTGTTAGTAATGTACTAACAATATTGTCTATGGAATTGTACATATACCATCCCAGTCCCAAAAAACCATGGATTGCATGGGATCCCATGACACAAATCCCATGACAGGGCACTGAAATCCCATGAGACTGCGGTTCAGCACCATGGACAAGCGGCATGCCATGCAAAATGGAGATCGTTTCCCATGGTGCAGGCCTAGCACCATGGGAGGACCTCCCCCATGATGTGAACTTTTCCATGGGTTCAGACTTCCCATGGGAAGGCAGTCCTGCTCGTGCGTTGAAGTCTCCGCCTAATTTCCAATTATAGGTCATATCATGTCAACGGGGCCCTCCAGACAAAATATGATTGCAAAATCGGATGTAGCGTCAAAAGCTTAGGGGGTGGCAGTTCACATGTGAAATTATTAAATCCAGATCAGGCACTGATCTCATCATGTTGTACTCACAAGAGACTCTGCCAAGGCAAGGAAGTGCTTTCCATGACTCACACTCCATGGTACCTTTCCCCATGGGTCGCTAGACACCATGAGAAGTTGTTCCAAAAATCACGGGGAATCGTTCCCATGGAAAGAATCGGCCCATGGCATCCCATGCACCGCCATGGCTCATGGGATGCCCCATGGTTTTTTGGGACTGGGATGGACTTTTTATTCGTGGCATATGAACAAATTTCTAAGTATTATTGTATATCGAGTAACATTTAGTGACTCGAAACTTGTCTTTTGTCTGTCAATATTTTTATCAGAAATAAATTGGCAGTGTTTCCTTGAATGCAGGTGAATGTTGTACTGGACGTACGAGCGAACAACATGTGGAAGGAAAACGCTTTCGTCTTTAAGTTTCCAAACATGGCCTGCACATCGGTCAAGAAACAAATCCCGGAATTCTGGAACGTTGTCCTGAAACTGCCGAGAAACGAAAAAGTGTGCCGAATACCGCCGGTTAGCGAGAGTCGCTTAATGGGACCGGAACCGAACGTGCGACCCCAACCACTGGTGGAGTCGTGGAGTCACACGTTCGGTTCAAGTCCTGTTTAAGGACTGGAGCTCAAAACGCGTCTCGACTTTTAGCCGTCGTCCTACGGTCCGTTTGAAATATGCAGTCTCCTCAACTAAATCGTGCTTTCTTGGTGCAGAAACTTTACGAGCTCCACGACGAGCCCATCGCCTGGTTCTTCCCCAGCTTCCCGGTCATGCCGTACGGGAATTACCGCTTCCGACTGACCATGGGGCCGCCCGGCAAGCCAGCCATGTCCTGTCTCGCGGCAGAGTGCCACATCGTCCCCAAGATGTCGTGACAGAACGCTCGTCCTAGGAAGCGCGCACAGTAAATTGAAATGGCAAAATTCGAGCCCCGAATCCCATAAACCGACAGGTGGCGAGCCCATTCTGCTTACAAGCCACGGAATCTGTACAACACAGCCCCGTATTCCCCTTGCAAAATGGAAATTACATGGGCACTATATCAAGAACCTATATAGCTCCAATCCGACTGACTCACTGACTCACTCACTCACTCATAGAAATGTTTAGGGTCAAGGAGAGGTCGTAGAGACTTGCGGTTTTTTCCATTCGATTCCAAATTTTATGCGAAAATTGGGAAATATCCCAAAAGTTCAAAATTCCTCACCGTTCCCGAGCAAACCTACTTAATCTTCAAGAAAGGGGACCAAATTCCTCACCGCTTCCGAGCAAACCCACTCAATCTTCAAAAAAGGGGACCGACCGACTGAAAATTTTTATTCGCCCTATCGGTAGGTCTGGTCGAGACATTTCCGAGACTGTGCCGCAATCGGGTCCCCGTCACCGGCAACATCCTCAAAACGATTAAATAGGCCTAATTTCAACAAACTCCACTCAATCTTCAAAAAAGGGACCGACCGACTGAAAATTTTTATTCGCCCTATCGGTAGGTCTGGTCGAGACATTTCCGAAACTGTGCCGCAATCGGGTCCCCGTCACCGGCAACGTCCTCAAAATCATCAATCAATCAAGAACCTATATAGCCCCCCTATATAGTCCCCTTCAAAAAAGGGGACCGACCGACTAAAAATTTTTATTCGCCCCATCGGTAGGTCTGGTCGAGACATTTCTGAAACTGTGCCGCAATCGGGTCCCCGTCACCGGCATCATCCTCAAAACGATTAAATAGGCCTAAATTCATCAAAATCTACTCAATCTTCAAAAAAGGGGACCGACCGACTAAAAAATTTTATTCGCCTCATCGGTAGGTCTGGTCGAGACATTTCCGAAACTGTGCCGCAATCGGGTCTCCGTCACTGGCTACATCCTCAAACAAGCTAGGGCCCGCCCTTCCGTCGAACCGAGTTGCCAGCTCCGCTTCGCGGCGCCGGCAACTCGGTTCGACGGAAGGGCGGGCCCAGCTTGGCCTGCCGGCGGCCTTTTCTCGGGCCTTCGGCCCTCGCATCAGACCCAACTTGGCCAGTCGAAGGCCCGGGCCTTCGGCCCGCTCGCATCACACACACCGTGAGCGGGTAAAGCAAAGTTATCGATGTACCATCGTGACTTAGGCCCGCCCTTCTATTCACAATATGCAATAGTCCTTACACTTTTTACTCCAACTGTCCTTAGAATATGCCCATTTCATTTGTCTCTTCGCCCTCATTCCGAAAATACCCATATTTGCCATGCTACTGCAACTCCTTGCAATAGAGGCACAGCAGGAGCGCAAAACAAGTCCGTCGCACTTTTTCCCATAACTCATGAAGGCGGGCTCCTGGCCCCCCCTTCCGACCCCTCGTTGAAGAGGTCTTGCCAAGACCTATCCAAAACCTATCCAAAAGTGAAAATTTTCAGTCGGTCGACCCCCTTTTCAAGATCCTGATGTGACTAATAGACGAAGTCGGGCTCCTGGACCCCTTTTCTGACCCCTCGTTGAAAAGATCTTGCTGAGACCAATCGAAATCTGCAATAAGTTTTTTAGTCGGTCGACCCCCTTTTATGAAGATCCTGATCTGGCCAACTTGTAAAAGCGGCCGATGGGGTCGGGACCAGGTCCATTCATCTTGTCTCGTCGCCCCGATTCCAAAAACACCCCTATGTGCCCTGCTAGCACCAATAATGGCGGAAATCCCCCTCCCGCTCATGTAAACCATGATGCACCTGCAGCAGCCCTTGTGCGACCCGGACGGGATTTGCACCACCGGATTATTTGTTTGGACGGTACTCCTGAAGTACCCTCCAAATCTGGTTACTCTAGCTCAACTCCTTCCTTGTACACAGACGCCAACAACAACAACACACAGACACAAAGGCAAATGCATAGGCCCTCCCCCTATTTTTAGCAGATGATACCTTTACAAAAACATACCTAAAACTACAACTACAAGACACATAAAGGTGTCAGCTAGCTTTTACTCGAGAGTCCAAAAACCAAGTGCGTATCCTAACAATATAATAGGGGCTGGCTGCCGGGGCGGGCTGATGAGTCTGTCGCTGCGGCGCAGCCTGCGCGGAATTCGACAATGGCACCCCCTCCTCGCGCGCGACGGCCTGCGCGCAGCATTGACAATCCCTCCCCGCTACAGCGCAGAGGGGGCCAACGGGCACGGCGCGGCCAAGCCCTAGTCTCATGGCGCGGCGGTGCAGGCCACGGCGTGGCGTAGCGTAGCACAGGGAAGGCTTCCTGTTCTGACGGAACTCGCGCGGCGGCAGGTAAAATTCAAATCGGCCGAAACACGTTCGGACCTGCGCACGGCTCCGGGCGCACAGTGGTTTAAAATGCGATTTTCGGGGGAATAAGTCCTAGCATGCGTCCCGTGCGACCAAATGCTACCAGAATTGAACTGAATCATCTGTAGGCAATAGGCAAAGACCAGTTCAAAGGAAAAGGTGGTCCGATAAAAATTGGAATTAAAATCCTAAAATAATGAGAAAAATAGCTGAATTAGTAGAAAAATGACAGAATTGACAAAAAGTGCAAAACTAAAAAATGCTCAAAATACTTAGTTTCAACTTCTGAGCCGCATTAAACCATTTTGTTACTAAGAAAAACAACATATTTGAAAAGAAAAACAATCGCACTAATGTTTTTTTCATTTTGAACGGTGCACACCAGAAGCGATTAACCCCAAAACCAATCAATTTGGCACGTTTTTGTGGTGTTGGTCCCCTTGCGTTTCGTGTTGCGGACGTATGCGGAAAAGTTATCGCCAGGGCATGTTAATATACATGTAAGGGAAGCGCCTCGCACCAATAACTCAGCTACATACGCTCACATAGATGACCAAAACTCAAAAAGTAAGTTTTTAAAGGTTTTGAACGCATTTATAGCAAAAAACCGCAACCGTGGGCCCAAGCGTTAACGGAATGTTGTGCTATATGCTGCTTTCCTTTGTCTAGTGATGAAACTAAGAGAAAAAGACGCTAGCTTACCAATAGCATCGCCCTACACGAAAAAATGGCGGTCGGAAAAATTGAAGAAAATTAGGTGAAATTGCCTAAAATACAAAATACTAGAATCAAACCTTTCCCCGTGGCTCGCGGCTCAATTTAAAAATCTATGAACGTTATTTTACGTTATATTGGAGTATTATAGTCCGTTTCCACCCCCCAGCATGCCTCCAAAACGGTTTTGAAAAATCGACTTATTCCCCCTAAAACAGCATTTTAAACCACTGCACTGTCAGAAAACTCCGTAAAAATACGGAAATTTAACGGAGACTGTCCATTTTTTTTAACGGAGATCTCAATTTTTTTAATTATGGATTTTCTCCGTAAAAATATGGAAGTTATGTATATAAATGAAATAGAAGCCTTACTTATCAAAAAGAACAGACTAATTCACGTTATCGATGGGTTGGGTGACCAACTGATTAGGTGTTCCAAGAGTACGCCTTCCCTAAAGCAACCTCGCCTTTGGGTTTCCGTCCATTTATCCGATCCTAATGGCATGTGGTCAAGTGGATCTTCAAACAGTTTTGGAGAATATCACTTTCGCCTAAAAGGACACTGTTTGCATTAACATCGAAGGTGGAAGGAGGGAAGTAAACCGTTAAAATGCGTTTATTTCTGCAAAAATGCGGTTCATCTCCGTAAAAATACGGAAAAACTCCGTAAAATATGGAAAATCTCCGTAAAAATATGGAAAATTTACGGAGCCTCCATTCCCAAAATTAGAGTAACTTTCTCCGTAAATTTACGGACTTTTTTTCTGACAGTGTGTGGGGCGGCCGCGCGGCGCTCCATATGACCTTAGGGGGAAGAGGGGAACGAAACACGTAAACTATTCTCACATTTAGTTTCCGTATTTTCCTCTGTTGACACCCCGGAAGGGTTTCAATCATTCCGGGTCTCCCAGCATGCATCTCGGTTGCGCAGACCTATCTTCCATATGACCTTTCTTCCCCCTCCCCCGTCACAGGGGAACAGGTCAGTGCACTGAGTGTAGCTGTGGATTGTAAATAGAATGTTTTCTTTGCCTTTGTGTGCATCTACTGATTTTATTTTCTCTGACACTATCCTAATTTTTAAATTTCATAGTAAATAAAATAAGGTAAATGCATGAATAACTTCTGTTGAAATTAGAAGACATGTTAGTTGTCTTGGTTTGTCTCGGGAAATGACATTCTATTGCAATGCTCCAAGCTAACATAAATATTCTAGTACTAACATCTATTGATTAAAAGAATCCATAAATAGATGTATTTTGTGCAATAAATAATCCATATATTTAGTGCTAACAGATTATGAACTGATATTGGGTTCAATGAGACGATTCAGGTTTTGAGCGGTGGGTGACTTGGTAATTGCTTTTAATGGGACGATTCCTTTCACTTCACCAAAGCTTGTGTCCGACAATTGGAACCAAGTATTGGTAATGATTTAAAAGCTGGCTTTCTGAATGTAAGCCCAATGTTAATACTATACTGTATTCTTTTACTCTAAAGATAAAATATCACGAGGCATGAATAAGGTAAATTAAGTTGGCATATTGAGCAACAAGTGGCCTCTGCATTTGACTTCATGAGACGATTCACTGAATTTGACAAAACTTGTTCTCCGTCGAATGCTTCAGATCAGCCTGCCCTAAACTGAGTCACTTAATAAAAACTATGATTACATATTCCAGTCTATATTGTTTAATTCACTGGTTTTAAATGAAAGAATGACAAAAGGCTTCTCAAATATAACTAATAAATTTGTGAATTCATTAGTTTGAAGAAAAAGATGTATCGAATAGTGAGTCAAGCAGACGAGTAGCTAATTAAGCGATTCAATGCTGGCAATGGAATGTTACTCGACTGAAGGAATCTCATTGGTGTGGCATTAGGGTATTGGTGACGACAAAGGGTGATCCATGAAGACCAACCCAGACCCATTCTTTACCTATTATTGATCAATTTTGTATCAATATTTTTCAATCGAATCTCATATTGATTCTTGGAGTTTTTTGAATGCTGATTATGAAAACCACTTCCATCTCTACTCCAGACTTATATTTTCATCTCAAATTAGGTCATTTCGGACCAAAATTTTCAGGTCGAGTTTTATATTGTTTCCTGCAGTGTTTGATGAGCTGAACTCAAAAATAACTTCCAAATTTTTCCCAGACTCACGCTTTACCCAATTTTGACCAAATTTGGACCAAAATTTTAGAATTGAGTTTGATGTTGGTCCCAACAGTTTTTTGTGTGCTGATATCGAAAATCACCTCCATTTCGACTCCAGACTTATATTTTCATCCCAAATTAGGTCATTTTGGACCAAAATTTTCAAATCAAGTTTTTTATTGTTTCCTGCAGTTTTTGGTGCGCTGAGCTCAAAAATGACTTCCAAATTTTTCCCAGACTCACGCATTACCGAATTTTGGCCAATTTTGGACCAAAATTTTGGAATCGAGTTTGACGTTGATCCCAACAGTTTTTTGTGTGCTGATAACAAAAATCACTCCCATTTATACCCCAGACCTATATTTCACTCAATATGAGCCCACAAGCTGCAGTCCGAAGTGCACAAATTCGCATCGCTCAGCCACACTACGCGCCCACACAAAACGGCGCGTACCCCTAGTTATTTTTGTTTTGTTTTGTATGTAGACATTATCTCCTACTTTTGCATCTCGCCTTTCTGGAACAGCTCAGACAGCTGAATCAAACTCCAATGTTTCTGCAATACAGCCTAGCCAGACTTTGGAACCCATAAGTGTTGGGACTAGAAATGCAGCTTCTGCTGAGCCTGATGTAAGGAGTTGTATTCTTATTGTTAACTAGCAAGTGAGCATTGCAATGCTCTTAAAAAAATTATTATTATTTTTAATATTATTGTTATTTTTTTTAGGTATTTTCATCTGCATCTCACCTTTCTCGAGCAACTCAGGCTGAATCAGACTCCAATGCTCCCGTGATCCAGCCCACTCAACCCATTGATTCTGGGCCTCTAACTAAATCTTCTGTTGAACCTGATGTAAGGAGTTGTTGTTTGGTATCTTTTTGTTAGCTAGCAAGTAAGCATTTAAATGCTGTTTTAATTATTATCATAATTTTTGTTTTTCAGGCGTTATCTTTCTCATCTCTGTCTCACTCTCCTCAAGCAACTCAGGCTGAATCAGACTCCAATGCCCCTGTAATCCACTCCACCCAGACTTCAGAACCCATTGAGTCTGGGCTTCCAAATAAACCTTCTATTGAACCTGATGTAAGTATTTTTTTAAAACTCTTCTTGAGTTTGAACATTTTATTATATTTGTTACATTTTCCTAATCATTTCTCTTTCTCTTTGTAGGCCTTTATTTCCAAGTTATTGGAGAATTTAAAATTGTTACTACCTAAATATTTGCAATTAGAAGTTCTGGATAATAGTCTCCTGCGGATAGTGAAACTCAACACCTCAAGGAATGCGGTAGTCCAAAGCTGTGTTTACTATGACCACAAAAATCAATCTGTAGGTCTGTTTGTAAACGGGATGCCTATTCCAAATGAGAACAAAGTTTTTGATTGTAAGACAGCTCCAGACGCAACAAACATTGGAAGTCTGTCAGATTATTTATGTGAGCTGGTGACTAGGGTTGGACAATTTAAAGTCTGTAAAGGAGTACATGATCATGACGAACTATGGGAAACATCAAGGGGATTTCTGGACTATAGCTCATCAGTGGAAGATCCATGCTTTAGAAATGCAGAATGTCTCTTTCTGATATCTTCTGGAAAAAGTGAAATCTGTTTTGGTTGTCGAGCTCAAGTGCAGAAATTTAAAAAGGGAATTAAAAAGAATGGAGGCAGAAAAAGAAGATAGCTGAAAGCTTCGAGACAAAGATTTAAGCAGAGAAGGATTGAAAGCCAGAAAAGATAAATACAGAAATCTGTATATACTTGAAAAAAAAAAGCGTACTAATAGATTGCAAAGAAGAGTTGATTCCCTTCAGATCAGGCTTGACGAAGTTTTGAAGGATGAGCTTTCCTCTATTCTGAGACTCAATCAGCATAAAATGACACCTTTACAAAAATTGTTTTGGGAGTCTCAACTGAAAATCCTTTCTCTTGATGATAAAAGGGGAATGCGGTGGCATCCTATGCTAACTTGCTTGGCCCTTCATTTACATTCCCTCTCCAGTACAGCCTATGAATTTATCAACGAATGCCAATTTATTACTTTGACTTCCAGTCGACGATTATATGATTACTCGCGCTGCTCGCTGGGGGCTCCGCCCCCAGACCCCCGCATGTGTGGGGCGCGTACCGAAGTATTTTTAGTAAGTCCGTGGTGACCAAAGGGAAATTTTCTAATGAAGTAACTGTACTGCTTTTTGGAAGGGTCTATTTAACTGCTTTTGACCATTAATTTTTAAGGTACTATTACTGCCCAATTAGATAGCTTGTATTGTATAGGCTACTGTGGCAGTGAACGGCATTCAAGGTCCGGAAAATATTGAAGACTGCTTTGACAAGAATAAGATCTGTATTCATTGTGGTCAATGTGACCGAAGGCCAAACTAATGGGCCTCTTTTGCGTCTGTCATTTCTGATTTCTCCGGCAATATATTACATGGCTTTTACTGCTCGGAAACGGTTGTATTTTGTTCAATTTAGGCCTATTTCATCGTTTTGAGGATGTTGCCGGTGACGGGAACCCGATTGCGGCACAGTTTCGGAAATGTCACGACCAGACCTACCGATGGGGCGAATAAAATATTTTAATCGGTCGGTCCCTTTTTTTAAGATTGAGTGGATTTTGTTGAATTTAGGCCTATTTAATCGTTTTTTGAGGATGTTGCCAGTGACGGAGACCCGATTGCGGCACAGTTTCGGAAATGTCGCGACCAGACCTACCGATGGGGCAAATAAAAATTTTTATTGGGTCGGTCCCCTTTTTTGAAGATTGAGTGGGTTTTGTTAAATTTAGGCCTATTTAATCGTTTTTTGAGGATGTTGCCAGTCACGGAGACCCGATTGCCGCACAGTTTCGGAAATGTCTTGACCAGACCTACCGATGGGGCGAATAAAAAATTTTAGTCGGTCGGTCCCCTTTTTTGAAGATTGAGTGGGTTTTGTTGAATTTGGGCCTATTTAATCGTTTTTTGAGGATGTTGCCAGTGACGGAGACCCGATTGCGGCACAGTTTCGGAAATGTCTCGACGAGACCTACCGATGGGGCGTATAAAAATTTTTAGTCGGTCGGTCCCCTTTTTTGAAGATTGAGTGGATTTTGTTAAATTTAGGCCTATTTAATCGTTTTTGAGGATGTTGCCGGTGACGAGGACCCGATTGCGGCACAGTTTCGGAAATGTCTCGACCAGACCTACCGATGGGGCGAATAAAAATTTTTAGTCGGTCGGTCCCCTTTTTTGAAGATTGAGTGGATTTTGTTGAATTTAGGCCTATTTAATCGTTTTTTGAGGATGTTGCCAGTGACGGAGACCGGATTGCGGCACAGATTCGGAAATGTCTCGACCAGACCTACCGATGGGGCGAATAAAAATTTTTAGTCGGTCGGTCCCCTTTATTGAAGATTGAGTAGGTTTGCTCGGAAACGGTGAGAAATTTGTTCCCCATTTTTGTAGATAAAGTAGGTTTTCTCGGAAACGGTGAGGAATTTTCAACTTTTGGGATTTTTCCTAATTTTCCCATAAAATTTGGAATTAGGGATGTAAAGGCCAGTAATATTACCGGCAAAGAACGGTATAATACGGTAAAATACCGTATTTTACGGAGACCCCGGTAAAATTGGTATTTTTCGGTAATTTTGAAATATTGACTTATTTGAACTTCTTTAGCTTCCATACGATTATACAAGACGTACGGACTGAAAATAGCGCTTCTTTTGAACTTTTGGTTTGTGTCTGCCCCTCGTGCCACCCCGTGTACGTTTAAGACGTATAGCCACTTCAAATTACTGTGAAGTTAATGTTCTCTTCTTTTTCAAAACTTGTGGAAATCAAAATCCATTTACACGAGCCAAATCTCCGAAAGGCAAATCAAAAACCTTTCTTTGTTGCTAAGGTTCATATAATTTTAACTAACTTAAAATTGAAAAGAGGTAAGTCTAGGGGTAGATATTTGTTAGACATTTGAGTTGAAAAGTGTAATGAACATTGGTATGGTTGTTGGACACTTTGCAGCCTTCAAGGAAAAAGGTTTTTTCATGGAATTATTGAGACAACTTACTTGGCCAACGAGAAAAACTGCGCCCGTTTTGTTAAGACTGAAGTATATTTGGGCTGTTAACTTTGCTGCTCTACGCATTTCTTAATCCAGTCTAGTTGGAATCAGTAAAAAGCAGTCAGATTCAAAATTAATTGGGAGGGTCCAGTGAGAGAATAGTTCATATTTTTGACCCACAGGGTCTTTCGTCCTTGTCTATTTCAAATGCGACATTATCTTTGGGTCATGATGGTTTTCAACCATGTTTGGAACGATGCGGCCGATAATTTATGAAACACCCTTACCCAAATAAACCTCTTTTCCTCCTATTTCACAAGAAGAACCACAGTTACCCCTTTAAGTGAAGAAAAATCAATTTTACCCAATTTTACCGTAATTTACGTAACTTTGAATCTTACCGGTATTTTTGCATCCCTACACTGGGCTACTGCGCTGTGCCCGCATGGGGAGGGAACGGCACGCATCTTTACCTGGGAGCGCCGCGCGGCCGCCCGGAGCCGTGCGCAGGTCCAAACGTGTTTCGGCCGATTTGAATTTTACCCGCCGCCGCGCGAGTTCCGTCAGAGCAGGAAGCCTTCCCTGTGCTACGCTACGCCACGCTGCTGCTGGCGAGCCGAGCCGACACTCTGAGAAAAAATGACGGTAAATCCTGGATAATTTTTTTGCCGAACTTTACCGTACTTCAAAAACCAGTATCCACCGTACAGTCTACAGTATTTGCCGTACTTGTTTTACAAAATATTCCGTAGTTTTTTAACAGAAGTTATCGTTCTTCCGTACAGTCTATGCCGTAGGAAGGACCAGATCTGGTCCCAACAAAGGCTGCTCCCAAGAATTGTCCACATCAGAATCTTGAAAAAAGGGGGTCGACCGACTGAAAAATTTTATTGCACCTTTCGATAGGTCTCGTCAAGACCTCTTCACCGAGTGGTCGGAAGGGGGGTCCAGGAGTCCGACTTCAGCAGTTACGTACATCAGGATCTTGAAAAACGAGGGTCGACCGACTGAAAAAAAAAACTATATAGTTTTTGATAGGTATTAAAAGTACGGGATTCCCTGTAAAAAACGACGGTATTGCCTGTTAAAAAAGTACGGTGAAGTCTGGAGTAATCAGTACAGGATTTACCGTGATCTTTTCTCGCAGTGGAGCGCCGAGCCGGGCCGAGCCGAGCGACTCCTCGCCGCGCCACGCTGGTTTGGCGCGCCCACCCCCTTCCCCTTTGTCCGCGACCTGCCGCAAACTCTCTTTCATTCATTATCCCTTGATGCCGACTCGTGTTTGATATCATTTCTCCGGCTGAAATATTTTTCTGGAATTATTGGCAATACTCCCCCCTGTCATGTCTTGTCCGTGGGAAAACTGTCTGAGAGAAGCCGATGGTCCAGAGCCCCCATTCCCATCGCCCCCTCCCCTCTCCCCCGCCGGTGTATTCTGAATTTGCATAACACCTGTTGTCAACGCTTCAAGACTGTGCCAAGTGACAAGAAACAATATTTGAGAGATTTTGACGTGCTACATTTTATTTACGGTCGTCGCAAAATCGAAAAATATTTGAGTTTGGCCAGCCGTTTGAACGACCGTTGCGCCCTCTGCTGGCCGCAAGCGGTACTACCCTTTCCTGCTTCCTTCCGCCCTGGCTGGTCCAGTCATTTGGTGTCCAGGTGTCCAGAGGAGAAGTTGTGTAATAATTGCCATGCCGTTGCCCGAGGAACTACTTGACTATGAGTTTGAAGAAGGAGAACTGCAAGCCTCAGATGAAGAAGAGACCTTGGATTTGAACGAGTCGGGGGACTTGTTCGGAGAGGTAAGTGAAATGTTGTGAGAGAGTGTACGTGTGTCCGTTTTCGCTGCGTCGCGTCGGCACGCCTCGTGGCGCGATAGCGTCAGTAGTATGGGATGAACTTTTGGACACTTTTTCCCTGGGCTGAACTTTCGGACATGTGGGCATCTTGAGCATGGGTGACCTAACCCAACCTTAGCAGGTCATCATCTTGAGAGGGGCTAACCTAACCGAACCTAAGCAGGTCTGGACCCGCCCCTGTGGCTGGTACTTTCGGACACCTTGAGCGAGCCTAACCTAAGCAGGTCTGATCTTGTCCGCGGCGCGCCCCCTTCTGGTTCCGTCGCTGGTGCCGCGAGGCGAAGCCGCGGCGCGCTCCCCTCCCTAGGTCCGCCCCTGCCACCGCGCCGTGCACCGCGGCCGTGCGTGGAGCGGTGCCGCCAGCTCGCCGCGAAGCCGCGACGAGGTGCGCACCTGCGCACGAGGCGTGAAACCGGCGAGCACACCTGTGCCTCCGGTCCTCCGGTGGGTCATGGAGTGGTCCGCGGTGCGCCGCGCGGACCACGGGGCACTGCAGTAGCTCGCAGCAGGGTGCCGTGAAGCAGCGCCGCCTAGCGGCCTCCGCGCTAACTACTGCCGCAACAATGCTCTCCGTGTGCCACGGCACATAGCTTCTGCGCGTCCCGGCGCGACGCGCTGTAGCAGACGCCGCTCGACAAAGCTTCATTTCTCTTTTATGGACTCGTATTTCTCTCATCACCCTATGGAATTATGATCGGAACAGCATTTCCTATCGCCTCGTGCACTCTGTTTTCTTTAATGTGGTCCTCGCTGTCGATAAACACAAGTTCCGTGCCGGCTGTCTGCAGGATTTAGCCTCCAACCCAAAGCCGTCGGAGCGCAACAGGTTTTTAGTGTTTTTACCGTGTATCAACGTTTTCGAAGAGAAAAAATACTGCGAGACGATTTTAAATGATGAATGCAACCAACTTTTCTTTTCGGCGCGTTCAAAATCACTCGCAATTTCGCAATAAGAGTAACACGTCCGGGAGGTTCGCTGTGATTCGTCTAAAATACTGATTTTTGGCGAATGAGCGGAAAGCGCGCGAAACCCCCTCCCCCGCCGGCGGGAGGAAAAGAGGAGGGGGTGGTGGATAAATTGAGGCGCGCCGGTCGGAGCGTCACTTGTGTTTTCGCCGTCAAGATGAGCCGCTGCAGACCGGTCACAGAGATGTGGAAGGGCCGCGCCCTGGAGGCGGAGGACTCCAGCTCCGAGGACTCGGAGGACGACATGGGGGACGTCGTCGCCATAAACCTTGACGAGCTCGAGGAGGACCTGTTCATGGTGAGAAGAGTGCGTCAGTGTGTTCTCGTAGTGGCGTGGCTCTGTCTGTTTGTCCTCCCGGTGCGATAACCTCGCTCGGTAGGATTTTTCTAAGGCGGAAGCTATGCCCGATTTCGTATCGGTGCGTGGCCGCTCGACTCTCTGTAGAGCCGTGGCGTTTCCTCGCACCGTATTTTCTAATTCAAATCGGTAACCTCAAAATTTATTTTCCCTTCCAGACCTGTTGAGTCAGTTCCGTTTTCTTGTCGCGAGTGCAGTGTTCGTTCAAACCGCGTCATGGTTTAACTTGTCTGCCTCGCCCGTGCCACGCCACGCCGTGCCGGGCAGGCTGTGTCCGTTACGTTCTAACTGCGTCATGTCTGTACTTGTCGCCGGCCGACCAGCGTGTCCGTTTGTCCGGCGCGCGCTTCTCGGAATCGCGCCACGCCACGCCGTGTTATGGCTGGCTGTGTTGCGCCGCGCTGTAGATTGAGTCCTGATGTCTCGTTCATGCTCGCCGTCATGCTCCCCGTGTCCCCGCCTCGTTTGAGGCGTTTCCGCGAGCGTGGGAAACCTTTCCCGCCGGCGGCCGGGCGCAGTCAGCTGACTGCCGCGCCGACTCGCTCTCTCTCGCACCTCAGACTGGCTGACAGCTAGTCGCGCCCCCTCCCCTGCAGTGTACCGGCGCTGCGCATTGCAGCGCCGCCGGGCCGGGCCGGGGGTTCGAATCCCAGCCGTGTCTCGCGTCGCGCTCGGTATAGTTAGTCTTCCTGGTGATGTAAAGTTCGTCCGAGTGGGTGGGTGGAGTGACGCTGCCATGTCTGCGTCTGTGTAAGTCGCCTGCCTTGCGCAGCCTATTAGTGCTTGCTTCTGAAATTCTCGCTAAAGCATGTGTTTTGCTTTCTTGAAGTTTTTGAAGCTTTCCCTCTCAGTGTACGTCTCCACGTGTATTCCACTTTTTTCTGTGCTAAAGAAATGTGAATACAGTTTGAATCGTACACCGTGTTTTCGCACGCCAATATCTGCGGTTCCACAGTGAACGGCCGATAATGGCACGCGATTTTCTTTATGCTTTTGCCGTGAAACTAATCGTTTCTTTACCCTTAATGGTTTCAGTCCTCATCTTGTGAAGATGACAACCCCGTCCCCGTCGGCACCGGCCCCCCAGCAGGGGATGATGATGCGGCCAGACATGCTTGGGAACCTACACGCCCACCTTCGCAAGCCGATGTTGCACCAGTTGCTGAGGAGGTGCCTGCACCACCAGCCGAGTGGCTGCCGCCCCTGCCCCCCGGCACCCCTCCACCGGCTGCCCCTCTCCCAGAGCTGCCCCTGCGCCCGGGCTTCCCGAGGGACGAGCCAGCTGTAAGTCCTTCACCATATTTTAACTGTGCACTTTTTACATCGTTGGCAAATCACCTTCCTTTAACTGCACTTTTGTTTCCGTCAAAACTGCAAGTAAGGGTTCATGTGCGAGAGGGTTCTACTTAAATCTAACTGAATTGCATGATGTGTTTCAGGAGGATCCAGAGAAGGAGAACCAGTCATGCCCTGCTCTAGAGTTTATGGCCGAGTGGGTGGCGCAGTGCCAAATGCCGCCTCCCCCGCCGCCACAACCTGCTGCTGCAGGGCCAGTGATAGCACGGCGTGTCCCCCTCCATCCGCTTCCGCCCTACAAGGATGATGGGGTGAGTATTTGCATGTTTTTAACATTTCTGTTTCCTCACGCTGCCCCCCCCCCCGGTCCCGCTTATCCTTTGTTCAAATTTCAGTCGGTTTTTTTACCGCCCACGCCCCCACCGTCGCCCCCGCCTCCCCCTCAGCCCAAGCCACTGCCGCAGTTCCCCGACGGGGTGGCGCCTGGCGGAGTATGTGCTGTAAGCACTTTTTTTATTCGCAAACAGTGCCGCGTTTTCCCTCATGTCCATGTCATCTCAATATGTCTAACCACATTTGTTCATCTGTTTTCAGGAACTCTTTCCAAAGCAATCATGCAAATGAAAGTGTGCAAACCATTGTTTCTGGTCTTGAAGATGTGAATGAAGGTGGAAGGAAATTCATTGAATGTGTCTGAAAGGGTCATGGATGTTTCATTTTCTGTTGAAAGGTGAATACATATTTTATTAGTGTAAGTGTGTTTTTTGATTTTTGACCAGAAGTTTAATAATTTGTTTCGTTTTTAGTATTGGTGTGAGTAACAGTGGTGGGACAGTGACATCTTTGAATGGTACTGGTAATGTTGGAAATTCATGCAGTTGTTCTAAAGCTGGTTCGATTTCGTAAGTTTTTTCTGTTTGAAAAAAACTGTTTGAGTGTGTCACATGAATGATTAAAGGAAGTGTAACATTTTGCTGTGGTAATGGTGGGTCATTCCACGCCAAGTCGTCAAGGTTTTGAGGGACGTGTCGGCCGAACCCAGCGGTATTTTCAGGGATTGTTACCCCTACGGGCCCATTGAAGGCCCGGTACTTTTTTCCCCGGAAAGTCGACAGGGGTCTGAGATATCTCAAACTTCATTTTTGGTAAAAGAAATTACCTATCAACCTAAAAAAATTTTTATCTCGGAAAGTATTTGTCCTTTCTCAAAGCCGCTGATACCGTTGGAAAGAGGAAGAAAAACTGAAAAAGATAGGATTTTTTCCAAAAATTCTTGGAAACTTTTACTTTTTGCACTTTTATAGTGAAATGTTAAAAATGATGCAACTTTTTTGTACCCTGATCAAAAATGGCGTCTTATGGCTCAAAATGTACCTTGATATGTCCTCTAAACGAAAAGATCAACGCCCCAATGTATTTTGTGTAGTTCCGGAGAACGAGCGGTTCTTGTGGACCACTGCAAGGCTACTTTCCCGCTGGAACGGCTCCCACGCCACGCTCGCCTTCTCTGTGTTAGCGGACGTGATCGCCAGGGTTCGGCGACCGTCAGGTAGGATTCCCACCTCACTTTTCAGCCCACTAAGGAAGCGCTGGACCTCAGCGCCTGAAGGGCAAGCAAGGGAGAGACTGGGAAGCACGAAGGGTCACCTTCACACACATTTTTGGGGGTTGGCCGCGACTGTGCTCCGCGGTGCGCGTCGCCGCCGGTGGCGGACTGCGGAACTAACGAACTTGGTGGTGTGTGTTGTTTCTGACGATCGCTTGTTTGGATTGGGTGTCAGGCAGAAAGGTTCGGATACTTGCTGAATCTGCCCTGCGTTTGTTCCTGGCAGTTTGGAGGTGAACTATGTAAGTTCTACACTGGAGAATATCTTTGCGTGGCTTAAGTCTGATTCATTTGCTGGTTCAAATTCACGACGGGCTCTCTGCCGTAGTTTGATTTTTTTTCCCTTTCCAACCCAACCACTTTTTAGTCATCTTTTACTGGTTTTGTCACTGTTGTCAAAATGTTTCAAGTATGCACTTGTTCAGTGTTCTCGGAGGGGTCAGTGCGGAGAAAATATGGGCAGGGGAATAACTGAACACCAAATATTTTACTTTGACTGAAGGTGTGTTTTTCATAGTCGATATTTGTTTGGCATAGAGGACACGATCCTTGTACCCCAGTGACCAGAAACCCAACATGAATCCCAACCCCAAACCGAGTTGAGCCCCGGCGTGAGCTTGATACGGCCCCGATCTCAGCCCGGACTCGAGCCTCAGGTCGGGGCTCAATCCGGGCTCATGTCGGACCTCCAGATATCAGGGCTTTGGGTCAAGGCTCAAGTCTTGGCGCAAATAGGTCATACAAACAGGCATATTTGCAATATTTTGACAGCAGTGACAAAACTAGTCAAAGATGACTAAAAGCTGGTTGGGTTGGGAAGAGAAACAAAAATCTACATTCAAGAAACGTTCATGGAAGCATACGATACTCGTTTGGTGTTGTCCACGCACGCCGAGCCGTGCCGACCCGTAGGGCTGTACCTGGGGAGTATCGATGTTCCACGCAGGCTGCGAGCCACCCATTTACTCACTCTCCCGCCCCGGCAGCCAGCCCCTAAAGTTGTTAGGATAGGCACTTGGTTTCTGGACGTGGTCTATACCGCACCAACCGGTGTGGTCAAATGGATGCCAACCACGTTTGGTGCGTTGCAAATATTGCAAATATGCCTTTTCTATAGAACTTACATAGTTCACCTCCAAACTGCCAGGAACAAACGCAGGGCGAGATTCAGCAAGTATCCGAACCTTTCTGTCTGACACCTACTACAAACAAGCGATCGTCAGAAACAACACACACCACCAAGTTCGTTAGTTCCGCAGTCCGCCACCGGCGGCGACGCGCACCGCGCAGCACAGTCGCGGCCAACCCTCAAAAATGTGTGTGAAGGTGACCCTTCGTGCTTCCCAGTCTCTCCCTTGCTTGCCCTTCAGGCGCTGAGGTCCAGCGCTTCCTTAGTGGGCTGAAAAGTGAGGTGGGAATCCTACCTGACGGTCGCCGAACCCTGGCGATCACGTCCGCTAACACAGAGAAGGCGAGCGTGGCGTGGGAGCCGTTCCAGCGGGAAAGTAGCCTTGCAGTGGTCCACAAGAACCGCTCGTTCTCCGGAACTACACAAAATACATTGGGGCGTTGATCTTTTCGTTTAGAGGACATATCAAGGTACATTTTGAGCCATAGGACGCCATTTTTGATCAGGGTACAAAAAAGTTGCATCATTTTTAACATTTCACTATAAAAGTGCAAAAAGTAAAAGTTTCCAAGAATTTTTGGAAAAAATCCTATCTTTTTCAGTTTTTCTTCCTCTTTCCAACGGTGTAAGCGGTTTTGAGAAAGGACAAATACTTTCCGAGACATAAATTTTTTTAGGTTGATAGGTAATTTCTTTTACCAAAAATGAAGTTTAAGATATCTCAGACCCCTGTCGACTTTCCGGGGAAAAAAGTACCGGGCCTTCAATGGGCCCATAGGGGTAACAATCCCTGAAAATACCGCTGGGTTCGGCCGACACGTCCCTCAAAACCTTGACGACTTGGCGTGGAATGACCCTGGTATCGTTTCTGAATCCATGAGTTTTGGAGAAGAACAGTGTGCAATCACAAGGAAAGAAAGAGTGGATCAATGGTATGGGAACTTTGTAATATTGGGGATACGAAAGTTAATCTGAGAATGTGTTATTAATGTTTATGATTTTGTTTCAGGGGTGGTAATGGAATGGATATCGATGAATATCCTGATGAAGATGTGAGCAAAGACTGCGACAGTATTGATAATGTTATTGACAAGTGTGAGGGAGTCCTAAATCAAGATGTGTGTATTTATTGTCAAGTTTAAATTTTGACGGGTGGCACATCGACAAGATTGGTACCACTGCCATTGGTAGTCCCCTCAGCCACAACTTCACACTTCTATTCTTTCTCCACACGCTTACACAATAATCAAATTGACTTCGTGACTCCTAGGATTTCTTGAAATCGTATTTTTTTAGCCTACATGCCCTTAGCGTGTCTTGTATGTTTGGTTCAAACATTCAAGTCTGTTTTGATACTTTATATTCGCGTTGGTTTATCTTTGTTGTCAGAATATTGTCTCGGTGCAAACATAAATTGCCAGTGGAGTGCCGCTTGAATTTGTTCATATATCGTAAATCCTCAAGTTTTGTGGATTGCAGCATGCTGAGATGTCAGAAGATGAATTAATGCAGTTCTTGGAGAATTGGAATGCACCCAAACCTCCCCCGGCAGCCATCGCTTTTGAGAGAGGTATTAATTTCCTATGTGAACTTTTGACTTGCATGGACTGACATTCCCATCGAGATGTTTTAGAACTTTTCAATTTAAGAACTCAATCTAGGAATATCACTTTTAAGTTTGGTTAGTCTGATTTTTCAGGGGAGAGTATCAAATTATGGATCAATTGCTTTGATCACTGTGAGAAAAAAGACCGGAAAAAGTACGGAACATGTCTGGTCAATAATTTACCTGGACCGTCCGTACTTACCAACTACGGAACGCTCCGTACTTTTTTCCGTACCTATTTGGGTTCATATGGAGCAAGTACGGAACGTTCCGTACTTTTCTCCGTACCTCCGTACTATATTTTACTAACCCATTTCCGTACTAAAGTACGGATTTTTTTTACAGTGATTGTAGTAATGTAATTGATGGCGGTCTAGATGGACTTGCGTAACACCTTAAGTTAAATCACAATAAACCGTTTATTCTATTAAAATAACAACGTAGAGTTTCTTTGAAGCCTATAGCACATGAACATCCATTATAAGCATGTATACTGGGTATGGTATTTCATTCAGTACCTTATTGTTCGAGATGGATTATGATTTCTCTGTTCAAGTGGGTAAAAACACTTGTTCAGCTTGGACGGGATGCTGCGACATAGTTGAGGATCCTTGAGTTACACACTAAACTTCTTACGGATACATCCTATCCGTATTACGGACATTTTTGTGCAATTGCAATTACGGATAGATTTTGCTTGTAATACGGATGAAATCATCCGTATTACAAAGAGTTTTACGTCCGTACCATACGGATATTTTCGTCTGTATGTTACGGACACGAAAACCTTTGTGTTACGGATAAAATCATCCGTATTACAAGCAAAATCTATCCGTAATTGCAGTTGCACAAAAATGTCCGTAATACAGATAGGATCCGTAAGAAGTTTAGTGTGTAGTGCAGGAGGGGATCACTTCACGAATTTTCACAGGACCTCAAAGCTATTATTGTCCACCAGTTCAAGTTCATGATGTAAGTTTCTGAAATAAGAAAAGATAAAAATTTTCAGACTTAATTATTGACAATAATGTTTATTACTTCACAAGTCAATGCTTGTCATATTTACAGGCTACTGAAGCAGAAGGACAGCAAAGCAGCCAAACTCGACACAACTTATATGCTCCATGTGTTTTGATACTGACATCACTGGATCGGATCCTTTAGGCCAGGTTGGGTCAGAATAAAGCTGTCTCAGAATTTAAAATACAGTGCAGTCTGAATGCTTTTCCCGGACAGGGTTTGATATGGCCCTTCAGCTCCTGGGGGGCTACTTCATCGGACATATTGACTATCGCCATGCATACAAAAGTCGACAAAAGTCTGCTCCGGTTCTTGGAGACAAGGATGAATGAGGAGTTGTCGAAACAAACCCTGCAAGTACGAGCCCCAGTAAGTTAAAATGACTTCATGAAGAGAATAGAGCAGTTTTTATTTCAGTACATATTTTGTCAAATCCGCGTCCCACTGTATCTTGCATGCCTGTCCCACACTTAGATTGGCATTGCAATGCTTTTGCATCGGACGTAAACGCGAAGTGCACTTCGCATGCATATTAGCAGAGGACATTTTTAGGGCGCATCCGCGCATCGCACGTAAGGAGTGATGAGGCCGAGGTGGCTGCAGTGTTGCATGTTCGGCCTGCAACTATGTTGTGCGAACTGTCAACAATACCGAACAAAACAATACCAAGGTGAGGAAACGCTGCGGTGGAGTCCAACCCAGGACCTTGAGCGACGGAAACACGGAAATCAGTGGGACGAAAAAAAAAACAACGTAGTCACTCTACCACGTGCATGGTTCAAACTGCTGCCGTAGTGCAAGCGAGTAGCGTTCAAAAGTCTCTATATCTTCCAAAAAATTAGTTCAGCCGTTTTAAATTTTCCTTTTGATTTCCTGCCTTTGCCTTCGGGCACTCCTCCTCAACTGCTCAAGAGCGAGACGCAACAGTATGCCCAACAGGCCCTTCTTCTACTAAAATCTTAAATTCTTTTCTTCAATTACCTTCTCCTTACGATCATGGGCGGCCCAGCCATAACGGCTCACGCAAGTCACAGAGCTTATGCAGTCTTATTTCTGGTTTCATGCTGCCCTATCTATCTGTTGACATCTCGAATTATTATCAATGACTCCCATACCATCGGTGCACGGCGGGTCACGCAAGCTCCTATGCATCGCTCTTAACTTGGCCTTCCATTGGCGGCCGATGCCAACAGTCACCTCCAACAATGCCGGCGACGCTGGATTACCTCGTTCTCATACTGATCATCGTTGGCGCAGGGTGTCTCCAGGTGCAACTATGGGTCTTCGAGCGCCTTATGTCAGGGAGCGTGAATAATAAGTACATTTCTGCGTTTTGGTCCGTCCCGTTATGTCCAGTTAAAATACTCCATCCTCGTAGGTCCCGTAGTATTTTCAATTTTGATACTGCATGCTTGATCGCCCCGTTGCATGTTCAGTTAAAATAATGAATCTTCGTTCGTAAGGACCTAGCTTCACTATATTTTAAGTTATGAAATGGATGCAATGAAAAACTCCAATAATTTTAATTGACCAAAATGTCGTTGACACTACATACCCTGGCCAGAGAACTCTACCCATGATAAAGATACTGCTTCTGCCGTCCCACTTTGCATAAAAGAAAAAAAAAACCATCGTGCGTATACTGGCTTATATACAAATATGAATTCTTGATACGACAGATGTCCTCACCAACCCTGCAATAGCGGCAGGCATCGAAGTGCAATTACTCTTGGACTAGGTCTGGAGCTTTTATTCATCCTTGGCTATTCCAATTTTCGACCAACATAATTCTACCATGACATTGTGCAGGTAACGGGACGACCGCAGCGGACTAGGGTGGTTGCCAAACTCCACGGCGTTTGGCCCTGTCCGCACAAGAACCATTTCATACACTTTGACAACGCCAAAATCGTGCCTTTTGAGGACGGCTCAGAATACGTTGACATTCCAGATGTTTACTTGGGAACTGACATGAACACTTTGACGAAGGTGTGTACCGCCACGGTCAGCACTTTTGTTTGTGCACTGTACCTGAGATGTAAATTTGAGCATAAGAATGAAATTTGTTTCACCAAAGATGTGCTTTGTTTCTCCTGTTGTAAGTTACTTAGGGTCACCCCTATCAAGTGCGCGGACACAGCGAAAGTTTTAAGACCCCACTGGAGTAAAAGGCTGTAGGGCAGCAGGGCCTAAATCCCAAGGTCCAAAATTGCTTAAAAACGTTTAGGGAGACGTGCTGACTAGTACGCCCACGTAATAAAAAGAGCAGGCATCCAAAAGAGTGCAATATTCTCCATAGGAGAGACTCAGTTGTTAGACTTTTGGTAAACAGCTTCGATCCACCTAAAAAGCTTCGAACCCAAAATCGTTCTCTTTTTTTAGGGTTTTCAATCCTCCGAAAAAACCCTGACTCGGGGTTGGGTCTCACTCTTTTGGTCTTTCGGTAGTCCGTATGTAAGAAAAAAAATTTGAAGGAACCGGTCTGAAAACCCAAACTCGATTGGTTAACGGGGGAGTTAAGTGAAAATTCGAATGTTTTCATGTTTTTTCATCCTTCAATTCTTACATATTGGTCACCCTGACATGAAAATGGACATCACCATCGGATTCCCCATGCCTTTTTACCATTTTAACATCTTTGGTTGCGGTTCTGGTGGCACTTTTTGAATTTTAGCAAACATTTTAGATTTGGTCCATATTTGGGATTTAATCCTCGCGCGCAGGATTTCAAATCCAAATGTTGTCCCAAAAATCTGACGAAGTTGCCACATCTTTTGTTGGTCAAAATGAAGAAGACATAAGGGAGCCCGATTTCGAAAACATGTTCTCTTTCGGTATTAATCTTGAAAACTAGGATCATGGCTGTTTTTATGCCGCTTTTGGACACTCATTGACCTGTAACTAAAGATTGAGATGCAGTTTTGAAGAAGAAAAAAAAAAACCCTCTCCCTTGTCTTCTAGCTATTTGAACACTGATCATTTTAAGCTGTCGCACAACATTCTACCTCTAACTCCGAGATATCCTGCGCGCAAGGTGTTTGTAGGTTACGGATAGATTTGTGCAGCCATATTACGAATCGAATTTTGTTTGTAATACGGATGTTTTTGTCCGTAATACAAAGGTTTTGATGTGACATAAGAATTCTCAAATCTTTGTATTACGCACAAAAACATCTGTATTACAAACAAAATTCGATCCGTAATATGGCTGCAAAAAAAAACATCCGTAACCTACAAACACGCCATCCGTAAGAACTTAAGCGTGGCCGATTTGACGGTGCTATGGGTCGAAATATGATCAGGTTTGGTTGTACCGAGGCCCACACTGTTAAAAAAAATTACTGAAAATTCATAATTTTTTGTAAGAAGTCGATTTACTTACATTCAGTCTGAATTTTCATACCAAAACTTTTATACTTCGCGGTCTGAAAGTTTCAGACGACGTTAGTCTGAATTTTCAGATCAACATGTTGTATGAAAAATGATGCCAGTCGGTCTATTTTATCAGACTAAGTTGTACGAAGACGTTGAACAGTCGCACTAAAAAATGCCACTCTGTACAGTAGGACACTAATCGGCGAACTTTTGCCATCGGTTTATCGTAGACGCTCCGCGGATCGTCTCGGCTCAAAAATTAGGTACACGGCAGTAGACTCCTACTTGCAAAGGTAGTGAAGATGCTAGAGGTGACTGCTGAATAGCGAGGGAGAGCGGCCTTAGCCCAACCACGCGCCGACCCGTGGCCATGCGCGAGAGTGAAATTGTATTCTTTGTTATTTAGCTTATACTGCACTTATTAACCTGAATCTTGCTTTGGTGCGCTCATGCCCTTTCAGACAATCACTTGGAATAAGTTTGTAACAAAATATTCGCAATTTCGCCTTTAAGTGGCAATTTTAGCTCCAAAAGATCATCCATGCGACACTAGCGCCACCTAGCGGATAGAGCAATAAGTGTCCATTTCGGAGCTCTGAAACATTCTCTATGCTTTTACGACACTAAACGTAAATATTATTTGAAATACAACAGTAGTATTGATAAAAGTTCTGAGAAAATCGAAAAATGTACAAAGGGGACGGGGTTTTTTCACTCGTTTTCCGATTTCACAAGTATGAATTTAGTTTTCGGACGACAATGTACAAAACTTAATAGCCATCGCTCTAAATATTCAGACTTGCTAGTCTAAATTCAAATTTCAGACAACAGGTCAAACTTTTCAGACAGTTGGTCTTAATATTCGTACCATTTTATGAATTTACGATTCAGACCACCAAGTAAGACGAAATCAGTCTGAATTTTCATATTTTTTTTAACAGTGCAAAGAGTCGAAAAAAGCAAAAACCGAAAATCGATTTTCTTCACTTTTCGCCCTCCTTAATATTTTACGGTCCCGCACGGTTTTGAACCAGCTGGCTTTTTGCTTCAGATATTGTTGACAAAAAATCTAGAACGGGAGGGTGCATACTTAGACTCCCACTCCCGCTGAACCGTGAAGGGAAAGAAGTATACTCAAGACTCCTTACGGACACCATGTATCCGCAATACGGACGGTTTTGTGCAAGCGTAATTACGGATGGATTTTGGTTGTAATACGGATGATTTTATCCGTAATACAAAGGTTTTCGTGTCCGTAACATACAGACGAAAATATCCGTATGGTACGGACGTAAAACTCTTTGTAATACGGATGATTTCATCCGTATTACAAGCAAAATCTATCCGTAATTGCAATGGCACAAACATGTCCGTAATACAGATAGGATGTATCCGTAAGAAGTTTAGTGTGTAGCGACAAACGTTAAAAAATAATCAAATTTTTATTTATGTAAAGATTTTGGCCCATTTTCTACCAAAGACCCCCTGTTTCAGGTTGTAATAAGAATTCATCGCTGTATTGGCACGATTTCGGAAAACACTTGCGAATACTTCAACTCTTTTATATGGACCACAGCTGTCTGCCAATTTCTAAAGGCCAAGGGAGTTTTCTGGACACCTATGAAGGAAGCCTTGCATCCCACTTTTGAATGCCCCATTAAAAAGGTAAATATATATTGTCCCAGTAATGAAAATCCATAATCCTCTTATCTCAGTCAGGAATATTGGTCTGTTCCGGCCTCATCAAGTCAATAACTGTAAGGAAGATCTGTAAAAAACAACGTTCCAATTGGACCCTTCTTCAGTATGGTTGCCAGTTAAATGTAATCAATGTTCATATTGATAATAGTTTTCTTTGCGCTATCTTGCAGGGACACTATGAAGTAATAAACAGTACAACAAACGTTGATCAAATGGGAGAAATATTGGGGGCTAGTTTGGAAAAATTCGTTTGGAAGGGCGTGCTGGAACTATTCAACGAACGTAGTGAAATGGGTGTGTGCATCCTCATCCACAGCGAGTTCCGCCGTATCCTAGTAAGGCACAGATAAATGTTCCAGGCGAAATAAATAAAATTTTATCGATAAGGAACTGAGGGCGCTGGAGTGACGTTTTTACCTCGTGTGCGCCTTCTGTTGGTCATTGGCCCTGGTGCATGCCCTTAGAATGCAAACCCTCACTGCAAATCCAGTGGCAAGTTTCCTCGCCACTGGAGTGGCGTCTTTCTTAAGCTCCAAAACTTGGCGTTCCCATCCCTGGTTTCCGGATTCCATGCCAAATTTTGGCGTTACACAGAGAGCGCCAAAATTTGGCGTTCCATTCCCCAGAGCACCGAGCACCACAGACCAGAACGCCAAAAATTGGCGCTGCAAAAGAAATGCAATAATTTGGCTTGGAAAGCCATTCCCGTTCACAGAAAAATAAATGTCCATACAAGAGTTTTCAGTGCTTAGGATCCCTAGTTCAAATCACAGCAATTATACTATGAAAAGTAGAACTGGACCAGTAAAATACAAGACCTGCATCTGAATTTCCAGGTTATGTGTCAATGCCGCTGACCAACTATGTAATCGCTTTGGTTTGGCCAGCGATTCCTGAGACACTGGAAGAATGATGCATCAACACAAAAAGCTGGATCACTGAGTCACTCTCTTTTGATAAGGGGTTGACAAAGCAAGAGGTCTAAGTCCATTCTCAAATCAGGAAGGTTTGAGCTAGCCTCAGAGCCCGCCTGGCCCTGCAGCACGGCCGCGCGACGCTCTTTTGTTTCTCCCGTTCTGCCGTTGACTTCCGGTCTGGGTTTCCTCCGAAGCACCCTATTGCAGCGATTGGAACAAGGGATCCTAAGCACTGAAAACTCTTGTAAGGACATTTATTTTTCTGTGTTCGAGTATTGCTTCCTAAGCCAAATTATTGCATTTCTTTTGAAGCGCCAGTTTTTGGCGTTCTGGTCTGTAGTGCTCTGGGGAATGGAACGCCAAATTTTGGCGCTCTCTGTGTAACGCCAAAATTTGGCATGAAATCCGGAAACCAGGGATGGGAACGCCAAATTTTGGCGCTTTGGAAAAGACGCCACCCCAGTGGCGAGGAAACTTGCCACTGGATTTGCAGTGCTCGTCATCTTTCAGCATGTCGTCGCCTTCATAGGGGCTGGGTTATACTCTAAATGTAGGGTGTCCAGAAACTGGGCGCCTTTGTCGCCCGCCCCACTTTTTAGGGTGCCCAATGTCGCCCAGTTTCTGGGCACCTTTGTCGCCCAGTCTCAGGGTGGACAAACCATTAAGGAACCTGCCTTCACCCATGGCTCAGCAGCGACTAAGGTGCCAAAGGTGCCCAGAATCTGGGCACCTTACTGTAGTCGCCCAGGAACTAGACACCTGTGCATGCTCCACTATGGGAGAGGGCCGGTTACTGCATGATTAGTCCACCCCGAGACTGGGCGACATTGGGCACCCTAACAAGCTAGGGCCCGCCCTTCCGTCGAACCGAGTTGCCAGCTCCGCTTCGCTGCGCCGGCAACTCGGTTCGACAGGGGGCCGGCCCAGCTTGGCCTGCCGGCGGCCTTTTCTCGGGCCTTCGGCCCTCGCATCAGACCCAACTTGCCAGTCGAAGGCCCGGGCCTTCGGCCCGCTCGCATCACACACACCGTGAGCGGGTAAAGCAAAGTTATCGATGTACCATCGTGACTTAGGCCCGCCCTTCTATTCACAATATGCAATTGTCCTTACACTTTTTACTCCAACTGTCCTTAGAATATGCCCATTTCATTTGTCTCTTCGCCCTCATTCCGAAAATACCCATATTTGCCATGCTACTGCAACTCCTTGCAATAGAGGCACAGCAGGAGCGCAAAACGAGTCCGTCGCACTTTCCATAACTCATGAAGGCGGGCTCCTGGACCCCCCTTCCGACCCCTCGTTGAAGAGGTCTTGCCAAGACCTATCGAAAACTTAAGTAAAAATTTTCAGTCGATCGACCCCCTTTTTTGAAGATCCTGATGTGACTAATAGACGAAGTCGGGCTCCTGGACCCCCTTTCCGACCCCTCGTTGAAAAGGCCTTGCTGAGACCAATCGAAATCTGCAATAAATTTTTTTAGTCGGTCGACCCCCTTTTTTGAAGATCCTGATCTGGCCAACTTGTAAAAGCGGCCGATGGGGTCGGGACCAGGTCCATTCATCTTGTTTCGTCGCCCCGATTCCAAAAATACCCCTATGTGCCCTGCTAGCACCAATAATGGCGGAAATCCCCCTCCCGCTCATGTAAACCATGATGCACCTGCAGCAGCCCTTGTGCGACCCGGACGGGATTTGCACCACCGGATTATTTGTTTGGACGGTACTCCTGAAGTACCCTCCAAATCTGGTTACTCTAGCTCAACTCCTTCCTTGTACACAGACGCCAACAACAACAACAACACACAGACACAAAGGCAAATGCATAGGCCCTCCCCCTATTTTTTGAATAGAAGGGCGGGCCAAAAAAGTGGGGCGGGCGACAAAGGCTCCCAGTTTCTGGACACCCTACATTTAGAGTATAGCCACCTTCACAGTAAAAACTCTACAAAGTATCGCTTCACAATACGAAGAAAATTAAGGCATTGTAAAATCTACGAAGAACTGCTTCGTATTACGAAGCAAAATCCTTTGCAATACGAGGCATTTCTTCATAATACGAAGCAATTCTACAACGCCTTGAGCTAATTTATTTAATACGTGCAACGCCTTCCCATGACCCCCTCCGATTTTGACCAAAATTTTTTTCTGAGATGCCCTTATGGCAAGAAGAAACATCCTAAAATATTAGGTCGCTAAAAAATTTATTGGCCGAAAAAAACAATGTTTTCTAAATTTGCCACTTTTTTTACTTAATTTGGGAGTTTCTTTACTACTCTGAGGTTTTTGGTGCTAAGTGGCTGAAAATCAGTATTCTTACATATGTAAAATTGCCCATTGAAACTTTCTATTTTCTCTGACCATTTTCTCTAGTTTTATTCGCAAGGTTCAATACTTTAAGGATGTATAAATAGGTATTAAATACGATATTATTGATTTCCGGAGCGAAACGCATGAGCTAAGCAAGCACCCCTACTTCGCATTACTTACACCTCATGCCAGCTTTTAAAATTTTCCCAATCCGGGTTGCGATTTTCCCTTACCTAATTACGGTTTTCCCTGACCTCCAACACCTCTTTAAATTTCTCTTACTTTACTATGACTCCCCTTATTTCTCTGACCAGTGTGAACGTGTGAACCTTGCGTTGCCCTCGAGCTGTCGACCGCACTCTCAGACTGTTATTGACTTGTCTGTAGTTAAAGCGCATTTTACACAGCAATAAAAGGTACTGTTATTATAAATGTAAGATTTTGTTCGTTATATTGACCTAGGGTCAGGGCGGGGAAGAACTGGACAGGGGAAGAACTGGACACCCCATATTTTACTTCAAATACCGTAGGCACAGGAATAACAACTATCAAAAGTTGTTCCGTGGCATCAGCGGTTCATTACACGACAGTTGTCGGGTCAGTCCTACGGCAATTGAAAAAAATGTGGGTGTCCTTTTCCCTTCCATTTTTTCCCCGCCCGATCCTAACCCAGTGGTTCCCAACCCCGGGTCGCGACCCCTTTTGGGGTCGCGGAAAAATTTTGGGGGGTCGCGGCATGCTACCGGGGGTCGCGTGGGGTCGCGAGTTGGCTCCTGAGGGTCGGTCTGCGGGGAAACCGCCAGTGCGAAAATACGGAAAACCGACGGGTGTTTGGTTTTTTGGCGCTTCCAAGCGGAAACAGACGCATAGAATACAGGTTCGTGGGGATTATCTCGTCCCCTTAGTCTACCGATACCTGGAGCCTGGATCGCTCGTTGCCAACCATGTTCTATTTTGTTTCCTTCCGCGAATCCTCAAATGCTTTATGTTGAAGCGGCCCAAGTGGAGGCAATCGCCAATGTTAAGCGTGGTATAGGCGCCAATGTTTTTGAAAGGTACCGCGCGGGCGGCACAAAAGAGTACCAAGCTTGGGTGTAAAAATTAACACAAGGAAGCTATCATTTGAAAATTAGAATGTCTCATTACAAATTTTGGCCCTCTATTTTAAATGCACTCAAACCCTAAAAATTCGGTAAAAATTTAAAAATGTGACAGATAATTTTCAAAAAAATCCCCCCCCCCAAAAAAAAGAGGGGGTCGCGAAATTTTGTTCCTGGGGTCGCAAAAAATTTTGGAAGCCTTTTTGGGGTCGCGGGCTGAAAAAGGTTGGGAACCGCTGTCCTAAGCAGATGATTTTCAAGCTTTTGTTCGGTTATGGTCTCAAGCTGTCGCCCTCAGGAAGGTTCGGGAGAGAATCGCAAGTCGCCGGCTGCCCCTTGCTGTTTTCCACCCTTTCCCAACTTTTCAAACCCCTTGCCCCCGACCCCTCAGGGTTGGGAAAGCGAGAAAACCGCCGGGGAAACGCCGACAGATGCCGAAGAACTTCCTAAGCTTCCCAAAGGGCGACAGCTTCCGACAAAAAGCTTAAAATTCATCTGAACAACACACAATATATCCGGTATTGGGGGCAGGTTAGGGGTCGGGGCAACGGCTTTGGACAGTGTGGGAAAAAAAAAAAGGAAGGGGCAGCCAACAGAATCCGAAGCTTGTCGAGGGCGACAGTTTGAGACTTACACCGAATAGCATTGTTCGTGGCCCTTTATCGAGCCCACGGGGCAGCAAGTGCTTTCCAAGCCCGTTGGGTGAGCTTACCAACCCTCGCTGTTCAGGCCTCTAAAGAGGACCCTGTTCAGAAACGCTGTGCCGCTTCACCCTCTTCTTGACTCCCATTGCGCACGCAGACCTCACCTCGAAAGCAAGGATCATGGCTGGTACGGCTCGGGTGCCGGGCATTGAGCGCAGAGGTCAAAAGTGCCGGTTTTCAGGCCCCCCCAAAAAAACCCCCAACTTTGACGCCTTACAGCTTCTAAACGGTTTGAGCTACGAACCTGGGCGTGTGCTGATTTCTTTTTTAGCTCTTTTTCTACAGATGGCGTCAACGGATCGTGGGTTAAAAATATTTTTGACCGTTTCTTCAAGATTTGGGTATTTTCAGTAAAATTTGGTCGTTTTGGGTAAGTATTTCTCAAGATATCGGTCGTAGGTCAAATCTGTGACCATATTCTTGTTCCTTGGGCAATTTTACAGAAGAATACTGATTTTCAACCACTTAGCACCAAAAACCTCAGAGTAGTAAAGAAACTCCCAAATTAGGTAAAAAAAGTGGCAAATTTAGAAAACATTGGTTTTCTCGGCCAATAAATTTCTTAGCGACCTAATATTTTAGGATGTTTTTTCTTACCATAAGGGCATGTCAGAAAAAAATTTTGGTCAAAATCGGAGGGGGTCATGGGAAGGCGTTGCACGTATTAAATAAATTAGCTCCTTCAATTTCTTCGTAGTTACGAAGCAAATACTTCGTAGACTGCCTCGTAGGCTTTAAAGAGTGTTCTCCATTGAGCGCGTTAGCGCGCCGGGCAAAGGGTTCCGAGGCCCGATCAGGGCCCCGACTCTCACTGTTATCCAAGTTGCGATACTTTCAACTCAAAAACGTGCGACAATATCCGAAATGTGATTCCCACGAATCATTGCTCCTGAGATGAAATGACTTCTGCATCGCACAAAATTCTGTAATGATCATCGCAACTTTCTGCAATGAAAATCGGAATTATTGCAAAAAACAGCGATGATGACAACACAAAATCTGCAATCATTACAGTTTTTTGCAATGACCATTACAAAATTCTGCGATACTGTAGCTCATCACACCTTTTAGCAATGATCATCACAGATAAGTACGATGAAATTTGTATTGCGCAGAAAGTGCGGTCTGTATCGCAAGTGAAATAACAGTGCTATCGTAGCACTATCTTTGGGTTATTTAAGGTAGTAGAAACAATGCAGGTCATGTTAAGATGGAAACGTGAGTTTTTGTGAGGTTATGAGTTTTTAGTGGTCTGAATCCAGTGCAAACGAGAAAAGTTCCCTTTCCCGGATTAAATTTTGAGCAGTTTTACATCACATGGGCCCTTATGGTAAAAGCTAGCAAAGCGCCGGCCTCTCAGCTTTGAGTGAAAGGGAAACACTTAAGGTAAAGATGAACTGGAAAGTTTCAACTGAAAAATTAAGATTATTATCTAAGGAACGGTTCGGTGACAAATATGCGATACCGGTGACATAAGAAAGATTTTGTGACGCTCGACTTCAGGACACGCCGGCTGCGGTGTTCTGTAGCCAACCTAACGACGCAAAACTAATATTTAGGGAGGGCGAGGGAACTGTCGGTGAGCCTATTTGACGTCTAATTTTTTCAATTATTTTGCTCTTAGAAAGTATACAACGCTCGCAAAACGGAACACGGGGGCATTTCGAAGGTAAGACTATTTCTCATGGATCCTATGTCGGTTTTCTCGTCGGGAGAGGCGGCAAGGGGGGGAGTAGCCCCTCAGTGTCATGGCGGTATCTCCACGCGATCCCTCCTGGGTGGGAGCAGCACTGCATGGTGTGGGTTGCGCTACAAGTACGCTTAAATTGCTTGCTTCCCAGCTAAGGCGCCAAACGCGTAGAGCGGCGTAGGCATGTGCATGCTAGTGAAATGAACATGTGATAAACGCTTTTATCTTTGCATGGCTTGAGCGCGACAGCGAAGAAGGAGATGGAGAGAGGACGACTAACCAGTGGCCAGCTGGGGGAGCAGGACCAGGACCAAATTGGACGGAGAGAAGGAAGGGGCGCAAACATGACGGCAACAGGTACCGTCAACGGGGGTACTTCGGACACTTTTTCACGTTTTTTGAACGCCAGAGGCAAGATTCTCAACCCAGACCACTGGATCCCAACTATGTTAAAGTTTGACCCTTTACCCATGATTTCATGCTTGTCTGGTTCATTTGCCTCGGTTATATCACGGTAAAAACGGAACCGGGTTTTCCCAGGAAGCCAATGGTGAAGGTATAGGCCATTTCCAGGGATTTCGGAAAACCAGGACCGTTTTTACCGTGATCGTTTACAAGCGGTCTGGAAAGAGTGTCCCAAGTTACCGCATGACCGGGGGTAACTTGCACACTAAACTTCTTACGGATACACCCTATCTGTATTACGGACATCTTTGTGCAATTGCAATTACGGATAGATTTTGCCTGTAATACGGATGACATCATCCGTATTACAAAGAGTTTTACGTCCGTACCATACGGATATTTTCGTCTGTATGTTACGGACGTAAAGAGTTTTACGTCCGTACCATACGGATATTTTCGTCTGTATGTTACGGACGTAAAACTCTTTGTAGTACGGATGATTTCATCCGTATTACAAGCAAAATATATCCACTAAATGTCCGTAATACAGATAGGAGTATCCGTAAGAAGTATGTGTTGGGACAGTAGGTAATGAGCTACATTCGCATGCATCTATTGATGTTAATGGATGTCATTAAGTTAAGTCACAACATGTAGACCAAGAATTGATCCAGGAAGCGGAAGAAGGGAGTAACTTAACTTATCCCCAATGAGTTTTTATTTTCTATTGTGCCCTAGAATGTTTACATCATTACACCAATTATTTGACGTGATTCCAGCAGTTTAGGAGAAATCCATATGGAAAAGGGTATAAATCAACTTAACCCTTTTCCGGTCTAATTTCATTGGAAAATGAGATAACTCAACCTTAGTCTACAGTCCGTTGAAAAATTGGCAAAAGGATATAACTCAACTTGTGTTTTTACAATCTAGTGTAAAAAGAATCAACTCAACTTAACCCCCCTAATTTTAAATTCAATTTGGAAAAAAGAGCTAAGTCCAAAAAATACACCAGAGTAACATACACTTTATGCAGACTATTGTTCCACTTGACTTGTCTCCAAATTCCTCTTTGTTTAGGAAATATAAGGTGAGCTGACTCTGTTTTCCATTTCAACGGAAAGTGACAAGTCGCAGAAATCCTCTACGGAGTAACCTTACACTTTCGATTCTTTTTTCAAAATTTTACTAATGCTTTTTGAAATTATTAACATCTGCAAACATTCATTGTTTTGTGTTAGTTTCCCTGCTAACAGTTTTGTTTCTCCTGAAAAATGGCCAAAATTGAGTTATCCCCTTCTTCCGCTTCCTGGATCAATTCAGGCCTGGGAACTCTTGTAAGACCGATATTGGACTATATCCAGGGCTCTACGTGGAACTCTCTTTTCTACTGGTATTTTCCAGGCATTTTCTGAAAATTTCAAAATATGGATTACCAGAAGACAAAACTGCAGAGCAACGCATCTCTTTCCATCATGAGCGTAAAATCCGAAGTTCAAGTTATGTCAGGGACCAGGTCAGTCAACTCCTAGGAGAATAGGACTGCTGGAAACCTAAGGAAAAGACTGTCCCAAATTACCCCGTACAAGGTAGGTGTACGCCAGACCGTGTCATGTCATAACAGGCTTCGCGATGCTGCGCCTGTTTCGACAATCCACGCCTGGCGTATACACCTACCTTGGCCTGCGGCGCTAACCTGTCTTCGGCAGGCTGCTTCCTAGACAGACCGTAGATATGGCGTGATCCCTCAAAATTAACATTTGGTCATGAGAATCCACACGAATGGAACTAAACTTTAGGTCGGGGGTGCGAATGGCGTCTTTTTTCGTCATCATCAGCCCCAAAAACATAACAAACGACACGTAACTTGACAAAAAGTTGAGATTGCCTAAAAAATGTCTTTTTTCAGCCGTTTTTACGTGTTTTTTGACTCTTATGACCAAATGGATTGAGATAGGAAGCTGAATTTTGGTGTGTGGCAAGCAAAGGACACACCTACTCTAGAAACTGAAGAGAGTGCATGGCATGCTCCTCCTAGGAGCCAACCACAAAGCACTCTCTTCCAAAGAGCATGCTTGTAAGCACTCTCTTCCCAGGAGCGTGCTTGCAAGCACTCTCTAGGATGAGAGCGTGCCATTTCGCTGATATGAGTCCATACTATAATAGTCAGGCAGCACGCTTTATTCCAGAGAGTGGTTGCAAGCATGCTCGTAGGAAGAGCGTGCTTGCCAAGCATGCTCCTGGGAAAGTGTGCTTGCAAGCATGCTCCTGAGAAGACTGTGCTTTGTGGTTGACTCCTAGGAGGAGCATGCCATGCACTCTCTTCAGTTTGTAGAGTAATGCCCAGAAAAATCTCAGCCGGGTCGGCTGAGCCGTTTAGGAGGAGTATTGCGGACACATAGACACACAGACAGACAGACATGAAAAACTTTTCAACCCGACTGGAGTAACAGGCTTCGCTATCGCTCAGCCAAAAATTTCGATTTTTGAGAAAATGAAGTCTGGACCGAAGATGGGTAAACAATAATCAACGCCCTTTTGCGAACGTTATTGTCTGTGTATGATCTAACATACCAACCAATTGGCCTCCATTGTTTTCATGTCCTTCCCCCGGGGGTTTGCAAACCCTAATGAAAATCCTTTCCCAATATATTTAAAAGTAGGGAACGTTATTCCTTTCGCATGCCCGGAAAAGGGTTCCAACATGCCCGGGGGTGGAACCGCCCTG